TACGGCTGTGAATGTGGAGATCTTGAAAGTAGGGCACCCTGATGAAAGACTCCCCTTTTGGTGTGGATCCTGTTGTTCTGGGTCTGTACCAGGGTCGTTGTTCTTCTGCAACAAACATGTCTTATCTAGGCCTTGTGAAAGAAGCCAGGAGCTACGCCCTCAAGCCTAGGCCGGCTGTGGCTTCACATCTCAGGGCTCTCTGGGCCAAGACTCGTCTTGAGGCGATCAGGGTTGGGGCCCGGCTAGGATGACCACAAGCTCAAAAGAAACTTCAAAAAAAAACTATCGCACAAGCCGACAAGCCGTACAGACTTTAATTGGACATCCGAAACGTCTGAAAATATACCCGATCGATGCCCAATGGCAGCCTGCCGCGAACAAACTGCTGTCATACAAAGCCCTGAAGCTCCAAGCAAAGGAAGACACATTCCCACGAAGTTTGCGGAACTAAAACCTCAAGGGTGACGCAACCCTGTGGCCTCAAGCGTTCGGAAAAACTTACAACTAAGCCAGCAGCTCCGCCTCCGCACCGCAAGGTTTGCAAACCTAGAACAGCATAAATGCAAAAGCCGCAAACTTAAAAACGCTAAATCCCATCAAAATCAAGCCTTGAAGCCCAAAATCCGAACCCCGAAGCTGAAAGCCCGGAAGCCGTTCAGAACGAGAAGCTGTCAAGGTGGAGGGCGCTGGGGCGAGGCCGGTGAAAGCTAGGGCAGGTGCACCTGAGTTCTCATGAATAAGAGTCCAGAGTCTAGGGAGTCTAGGGTCCAGACGCGGGCTTGGATTATGTTTGCGCGGCTCTTCGGGATGTTGGTCTTGGAATCTTCATGGTGACGACCCTTTCCAAGTAATCCCTAGTTGTAAAGGCCTCCTGAGTCGGCCTTGTTTCAGGCTTCAAGACTCAGGATGTGGTGGCTTCAGGCTTCAGGCTCAGAGCCCAGGCATAATGTGGATCCAAAGTCAGGCTGAAGGTCCTGTCGCCCGTAAAGGCCGCTCTTGATCGTCAGCAGCTGGTCCATGTTCCGATACACGGCAAAGCTTTATGATTTAGGATGTGCAAAGTCTATTTTGAATCAAGACCTCCGGCACACCTCCGCCGAGGCCCCGGCCGTTCATCATTGCCTCGGAGTTGACGCATTAGGCACAGCACCCAAAGCGGACGATATGGGAGTTTCAGATTCATTCGGGTTTGAGGGTTCGGAAAACGAAAGGACTGCGACATTTCCAAACCTGTCTTCAAGGATACCACCAAAAGTCGCAGAACCAGCGGGGGCCTATAGCCAAGTCCCTCAGCTCTAGACCCAGAGAACACGCCGCTAAGCCCAACTGTGTGGGCACCTTTACGAAACACTTGTGAGCTCGGGGTCACTGGTTGAAAGCAAACGCTGCACAAAACCCACGATGGATACCCTGATCCCCGCTGGAACGACTCCGAAACCTGTGCTGCACACCACAGAAACCAACTGCGGCAGCTGAGAGCGCAGCCATCGTCGAAAGGTCTGGTTGCAGACTATCCACGAAGCAACTGTTGAGCCCGAATCTGGGTCTTGGTTCGTTTCCGTATAATGGGCGGCAGAACTCCCTGCATCACGCACTGAATACCACTGAGGAATCGTAGCATAGAGGCCGGTCCAAGACCCAAAATGTGCATCCATTACTTAGAATGAATGTTCGCAGAAGGAACGATACAGCTCAACCCGAGCAATAACCGTCAAACTGAACACCTTTACCTTCAAGACAAGCTACAGCCGGAAGTCTCAAGACCCTAGCAGACTGAATCTGGAACTTTGTTCCAAGTAAGGTTCCTTGTATGTAGGAGTTTGGGGTGTGCGTTTACCGTTTCTTCTGTTCTGTGTGTTGTACCGTACCTAAGCCCAAACGCTTAAGGTACCGCCTCGGGTGCAGGTATGTGCAGGTTTAGGTTTACTGTCCCCAGATTAAGCAACAGTCCCTGTATACATGTACCTAAATTCCTAAATTCAGCTAATCAAACATCACATACGCAAAAAGCATTCAATCAAACACGAAACACATGTGCGTAGGTAGAATTCTCGATGCCTAGATGGATGGATGCGCCTGACAAATGCCACGACAGCACACGACACTGATGTCCCCTAGACCGTTCCAAAGGCCAAAATTAGGCTTCGGCTTTTCCTAGCTTAGCCCTATGCCCCTAGCCTTTGGCATGAATTTAACGTCTAGGGCTTAGGATTACACGACCTCAGCATAAGACTATCGATGATGTGAGCAACACATGACGACACCTTGTCAAAATACGTATGGAGGCAGAATGCATGTAGGACGGTATGGTATGGCCTGGTATGGTATGGTACGGCAGGGTCCGGTAGGCACGTCTGGCAGCAAAGCACCGACAAAGACGTGCAGTTTGAAACCTAAGCCCTGCCCACAAGACTGTTTCCGCGGGTTGGCGAAGTTCGCACGTGCGACAACTGCGGCCGGCCGGGAGTGGATGGGATCCCAGCATGGGAGACCCCTCGAAGAGACAGGTTCAAAGAGGACAAGTGAATCTGTGCATGCATGCATACACACACACACACATATACATATATATATATATAGACATACACATATACTTATGTGTGCATATGCAATCTCATTAAACCTATCAGTTTCGCATTTCGGGTATGGGCTTGAGTGGCTTGATGGCTTTGTCTAGATCCTAAGGTCGAGCGACACACCCGAATAAAGTAGCTTGATGGTCCAGGGCCTTGCCTTCGGGGGGTTGTTTAGAGGGTCATCGGCCTTGGCAGGTAAGAGGGACTTCACACACGAGTTCCGTGGGAGCGATAAAACTATCTGCGTATTGCAAATACCTCCTTGCTCACCGTCCACTCTTGTCCATCTAAGGCTCCTAAGACTACCATGGCCTGTGCAAGACAAACAAAGCACTTTGATTACATGGGCTAGGTGCTTTCGCGAAGCGCCAATTAGTGGGAGTAACCGTGTTTGGAGACATTCCCCTAATGATCCCTAATGCCATGTAACTCGAAAGCCGCACTCATGAGCCGCCAGAGATCTGAAACCTACTCGCAGGCTTCCTGCCTTGCGAATATGGCTGGATAAAATTGGCTGCTGTGGGCGGAAGCTTTTCAAGAGTCTTAAGCGGGTAGGGATCCCCCAAGGGACCCTACGTCTTCGAGAGGTATCCGGCTTGCTAGGCCCCCAAAAGGGTCGGTTTTGTTTCCTGAGCAAACGAGGAACGGGAGAGCGAGGGGCGCAACAGAATCGCCTGGCAGCTCTGGTTTCAGTGCACAATCTAGGGTGTAGGTCCAGGTCTTGAGTTTAGAATGTGCAGGATTTAGGATTAAGTGATTAAGGTCTTGACGCCTCGAATTCGGTATCAAGGGCTTGGGGGTCATTGAATAACCTAACTCAAACGCAAAGGGCACAACTAGAATCCCCTCATTTCGCCCTTTATGTGTGATCTGATCGTTTGGGCTGAATGTAGAGGACTACTTATTATATATGGCCGCTGATGAAAGCCCGGAATGAACCGAGGCGATAAATTTCGGACACGCAGAAAGATGTTCAGGATAGGGGTCTGCAGGGAACGATGTTTCATCAAATAAACGGTGGATCTACCGCTGATTTACAAGTTCTGCAAAGTCTGGCATCTCGGTTAGGATTGTTCAAACTGGGGGTTCAGGCTAATCAGTAAGCAATCAGCCGCTGAGCTTTCCAAACTCTAAACGTGGACTCCTGGATGGACCCCTGCTCTGACAACCCTGAGCGGATAGACACTCAAATAAGAACACCTAAAGGGTCGAAGCTGCGGCACCAAGCATCTCCCAAGGTTTGAACCAAAACTGCAGCTGGACAGCTCTGCTTTGGTCTCGCCGCAGAGCTGTTCAAGAAGCTCCCTGGTCTCTCGGACACGGCGGGAGTGAAACCTTAAAAAAAGAATCGAGGGTCGGGAATGCGAAGGCATTCTTCGCAACCGCCGTCCCCGCATGGCCCCGCGCCGGATTTGTTAAGTGCCTACATCGCACTACGACTATCGATCCCAATAGCCGCTAAATAACCTGATCCAACATCCTAGAAAATGAAAGCAACACCCTCCTCATGAGAACGTTAATCATGATACTTTAGCCCAGGCAATGGCTGCCTCTTGCCTTCGAGAGGGGGGGGTCCGAGCGAGTAGAGGCTGGAGATTCAGACGCATCCAGTGACTTCACGTACCCAAGATTTCAAGAACTAACACTCGTAGCCTGAAGCAAACCAGGCAGCGCACTCTTGACCGCAGTTGCCAAATCGGAACGAAAAAGTTTAGATTCAGGTTGTCTAGGAGTTGCAAAAAGCTTCTGAATCCGCTCAGACAGTCACAGGTTTTGTCGGAATAATGGACAGGCTTCTCGCGGAAGTAACCATGCATTGTTTGCGGCCTATACCACCACTCGGGAGCCGGTGCCAAAATCGAAGAGAGCCGGAAGCGAAGAAGACCTTCTGGTAAAGCGAATGTGACCGCGACCGACCAGCAGGGGCTCTTTGAACCCTCTAGGCGATGTTATTACTGTTTGTACAGTCCTTGTCGCTGTTTTACGAATTTTCTGTTTTTGTTGACTAACTAACTACAGCAGTTGGCTCATTTATCTTCATTATCAACTATAACCTATTTTCTAGCCCCTCTGAATCGCCGGATTTAGCACGTGAGCCGCGCGTAACCTCTGTTTTGCAGGACCCATGTCGTTGCAAAGAGCTAGGTTCCAAAGGTCAAGCGGTGTGTGTGAGCTTCCTGTTTCAATAGCTTCGGGATATGCAAAGGCTTAGAGAACCTTAGGGTCTTGTGGGTTGTCGGGAGTTCGGGACTTTGGGCGTAGGGGGCTCTAGGAGTGTTGAGGCTACGCTTTCAGCTAAACTAAATTAGATACTGTTTGCCTTCCACGACAGCAACGCCTGTTTTGCCGGACAGAGTCGCAGGCGGCATCTCACGGTGTCTTAAGCGCAATTCTCTGTGCACAGCCCGACAAAACGGGCTCGCCTCACGGCTGTGCCGGCTCCTGGCTCAGGGATCCGGAGGACATGGCGAAGAGGTGGGTGTAGAGCGGGAAGCTGGCGTAGATGAGAGCGATGAAGAAGGTGAAGACGTAGCCCATGTGGATGGCTCGGCTGTGGTACTTCTTGGGGATCTCCAAGGCCGGAGCGGGCACGACCTTCTGCCAGCCCAAGCACATGTGCGTGCTGAAGATGATCACAGCCGCCAAGTAGAAGAGCACCCAGCCGAGGGACTGGAAGATCTCGAACTCCATGCGGTAGATATCCCGCACGTACACCGCCTGGCATCCTGGGGTGTCAACCCAGAAGAGGTTCAGCCTCAGCTGGAGCAGCGTCGCCCTTAGCTGTCGCGCGAAATGGGGAAAACAAAGCTTTCAGGTCTGGCGGGTGTACGAGTTGAGGTTTGGGTTTTAACCACTGAAGAGATCAGAGTCTACGGCGAGGTATTTGGGATTTAGGATATTGTGTTTGGGCTTCGTTCGTGGGCCGTTAGGGTTTTGAATTTAGGAATCTGGCATGAGGGTTTCAGGCTTCGTGGACAAGTGGCAAGTTCAGCAGGTATGGCGGCGGGCAGAGCTTCCATGGCTCAGTGTCGCCAAAGCGGAACCTGGGACTTGGGTTTCAGGCGCGGGGTTCAGATTCGAAGCTTCATCGTTTTACAGGGCTTAGGCCTTTAGAGGGCCTGAGGTTTATGTTGTGCAGCCTTCAACTAATAAAAACGCGACACGCTGTATAGTCCAACCTTTGCGGCGCAAACATGGTCATGTGTAATGAAACGGTCTAGATAGGTGTCTTTGGTTGGCCCATCTGTTCCGTTCCTGCGCACGCCGAACAACGGAAGCTGGGTATTGGGGTAGGTAAGTTCAAGACGGACCGCAGCCATAACTTTCGGAAAACACAAGAACAAAGAGTTCAATAATGTAGGCAATAATGTGGCTGCTGCTGGAGCGAAGCTTGGAGTGTGAACACCAGCAGTGCCTACGAGACCAGGTTGTGTTTTTGAGTGCCTTCGTCATGTCTCTCTGGAGCCTGGAGCCTAGAACAAGGCCAGGGTCTGGGATAGGCTCCGACTGCGTGAACCGCAAGCAATGATGAACAGCTGCACGGTTGGAGCAATCAAACTTACAGGTCTATGTCGGGTTTGGGACTTACGGGTTTAAGGTTTAGGGTTAAGGCTGTTGGGCTGTGGGTTGAAATTGTTCAAAGAGGAGCGCCCGAGTTGGGATGTACATAGAACCAGTCTCTATGGCCCTATGGATTCCCTCACACTAATGTGATTCCTGATCGTCCTGGCTGTTTCGGCCCCAGCGGCTGGTACAAGTGGATCATCCTTAGTCCATTGTTGTGTCACACAGACAGGGGCTTGATACAACGTGTTCAGGCTCCTGTTAGCTATGAACTTCTCCTAAATCCGGCCCCCCAACCCCCACCCAAATGCCGAGATGTGTTTCACGGTTGGGTCGTTCTTGAAAAAAAGGGCGTAGGTCACAGTTAGCAGGTCAGCGTGGGAACCTGAAGCTCCAGCTAGAGGTTTCGGGGAATGGTGGTGGGCGAAGCTCGATTCCAGATTCGCCAGGCTGTGATGGTAGTATTTCAAGAAGCCTCAGCTGGGGTCCTGCGCGTGCTGTGCAGAGCTTGTCAGGAACTCGACGGATCACTGTTCCTAATCCTGGAGGTCCCTGTTTTGAAACATGGGGCCCCCAGGACCTGGGACCCATATCGGGCAGCTTCCAGAAGACCTCCATGTGAGCTCCTAGCGTTTTTGGGGGCTTTCGGGTTTGAGGGCAATTGAATTTGTACGACTCAGCCAGGTTCGCTTCGATTTTCCGGCTTTCAATGGGGTTTGCAGACAGGACCCAACAGCACATGGTCTTAATACATACCAGGATCCAGGATACTTGTTACGAAAGCCGCCCAAAAAGAGGAGCCCTGCGTTTAGGAAGCCGTAAGTCTAGGACTCCAGGATTTACCTCATCATGCATACTTCAAAGTGGAGGTTCAGCCAAAAACCACGGAAAACTCCACAGCCTGGCCGAGGCGGTCTCGTGGGGCCCCGTCAGGATAGAAAGGGACTGCAATGGAAACTCTCTGCCGTGGCAGAGGAACCCTTCACCACCAAACTCACCAAACCATAGACCCTAAATATGCCCAGACTGGCCCTAACCTTCACTACCCAAACATCCAGCATCCGCCGAGCATCATGAACGTGAGCAACGTCACGCCGGAGAAGGCAAGGTTGAGCTTGCCAGAGGCAACCTCGGCTGAAATGAGGCCGTGTAGGCTTTAGGCTTTAGGGGTGTAGCGTTCGGGTTTAGAGCTTCGGTTCAGGGTTTTTGGGGATTGGGGTTCAGGGTTTAGGATTTAGCCGCGGGATTTTGGTGCGAAGGACGTGGGAGCTTGTTAACCTGTGCATTTCTGAACATTCCGGGATCGCCGAAGCATGGAATGGCCGAGGGTGGGGATTGGATTTAGCCAATATATGCGATGCGATGTCCACGACTTGTATTTACGACCTCGGCCCCCAGGACCGAAGTTTTACAGTGCTGGGATAGCAAGAGTTCCAGTTGTTCATGCCGTGTCTGAAAGGCCCTTATCTGCGCACTGGTGGCGGATGAAGGGATGGAAGAGTCCCCCTTTGCCCTCCGCAGCTTCAGGTGCGGAGTGCCGAGTAGTTCTGATGTGCTGTCAGGAATGTTGTTCAATTCTGTTTTTGGGTGGAGAGGTGGTGGCTTGGAGTCTTTCGAGCGGCTTGGTCTTGGGCTTTCGGGTGCTGGGGTTTGATTGAGGTTTGGAGCTCAGCATTTGGAACCCTGGCCTCAAACCCTAAAACTGGGCTCGTGTTGAGGAACTCCAGTTCAGCTGACGTGTGTGGTGAACAAATATGAATAAAAGGAAGTGTCCACACATATGTGTGTGTATATACAGCTTCGAGTAAACAATGCGCTCTCCTGATATTTTGCTAACTGAAACTCAGTTCCTCAACAAGAACCCAGATCTCTTCTGCGACGAGGCGAGTTGCAGAGTAGTTCATGCTGATGTCCCAGGTCCTCTTCAAGGCGACGAAGACGTGCAACAAGGCGGCCAGCAGGATGTACTCCTCCGGGCTTCTCGCTTCAGGGGTACTGCCATTTCAGTACTTCTGATGCATTCTGCTTGCCACTGCGGCTACCAGTGTTGCTACTATAACCGCTTTTCTTGCCGTCCTGTGTTGTGCTTCAAGGTCTTTGTTGCTGCGGCTGATTGTTTTTCAAGGCTACGTATGTCGAGGGTATGGCGGTTACGGTTTAGCGGCCGGTGATGTTCGTGCTGACGGTTTGGCTCTGGAAGTTTGGGGGTTTAGGGGGTTCTGCTGTCGGGTATGGCCCAATGGCTCTTGAAGCGGGGCCCAAATGCTTACGGTTCAGTGTTTACGGCTTAGCCGACTGGCTTTGGCCACACCACGGTTCTTGGGGCTTGATTATAACACGCCCACAAATGCAAACTTCTAAAACTTGCCACACTGCAACCCCAAATCACTACCAACACCTCGAAGCACGCCGGAACCTCCGACGGCCAAAAAGCAACCGGCTCGGCAAGTTGGCGCCTCGACGATGTTCGCCTGGAAACCGAAACCGGTCCAGTAGAGACCTCGAAATGATGGTAATGTAGGCTTTAGGGTTTTGGGTTGGCGGGGTTCAGGGACTATGGGTTCAGTGTTTCTTTTTGGGTTCAGGGGTTTCGGGTCTGAATTGCTCTTGGATTACTTGTTGCTGATTCCTTCTAAACCGAGCGTCGGCGGAAAACAGCTTGGCTGCCACTGTCCATAAAAGCGCTTTAAAACATAGGCTAGGTTTTCTCAGGTAATCCAAGATGCTGTCCATCGACAGTAGGGCGGATCACTAATAACTAATGCTGGGGCTCATGCAGCAGAAAGTTTGTCTTATGCCCGCTCCAACTTGCATATTAATGACTGCAGGAGGGATTCAAGACTCCTAAACTGCGCCCTCACCCCCTTGCACCTTACACTTACACACTAAGCCCAATACACTGTAAACTGTTTTGTAAACCCTTTCTGACTCGGTGTGATCTGTGGATTTGTAATGTGGGTGTGATGCAGGTTCAGGACCTACATGAAGGATCAGAATACGCAACCGTTTCCATGCAGTTATAGGTAGGAGACCACACATGAGTGTACTTTGAACCAAAACAACGGAAAAACAAGGCTCCGGCCTTCCTTTGAGATTGAGACAGCCCTCGGCTTTCAAACCCGAACAACCGAACCCAAACTACTGACATATGCCTCAGCCCTAAACGCCCAGGCCGAAACCTTGAAAAACGAAGCCCTAGCCCAACACCGTGCAACATGGAACCCTGCTGAAGCCCCTTTGTAGACAGGAGGTCAACATACCAAAACCCCAAAACCCTGGAAGAGCGAAACACACACCCCAAATGCTCAGACCCTGAAGCCCGGAACAGCTCCGGAGTGGCAAGGCACGCACATAGAAGTAGCCGTAGCCGTTGAAGTCATCTGGGCCTCCCAGAACGCTGTGGGTCCCACACCCGAAACTGCATCCCAAACCCAGCGAGCGCGAGAGCCGTCTGAGTCCAACTCATGGACAAGTCCAGCAGGTACCTGTTGGAATTGGCCTCCCTCTATGTGGCACCTCAGACCTGACGTAAAATTTGCCGCAAATGAACCGCTCGAAACCATCTTCTGGAGTCGAGTCGAAGGCCTCCTGCAGCCCTGCGACGCTCCATCCGTCAAAGATCCATGCAGTTGGTGCTTAAGTTCATTCTGGTTCCTCATTCCCAGGGTTCGAATTGCCTAGCAACTGGGCTTTCGGGTCCCGGGTGGGCAGGGTTGGGGATGCAGGGTAGAGTCGAAGGAAATTGGGCTAAGGATTCAAGTGTTTAGGGGTTTGGGGTAAAGCTGTCGAAGTGAGGATTTAGATTTTAAGGGGTCAGCCTTTGGGATATGGGGCATATAGTAAGGGTTTTGGAGTTTAAGTTTAGCGTTGGAGTTGTTTGAGGCTCCGCCCGCCCAAAAAGGCCCCCTTTCCCGGGGCCTAGGAACACGTGCAGGTTGCCCACGGCATGGATGATGATGAAGATGAAAAGGAACCTCTGCAAGAAGCATTTGCCGCTATCCTCGTTCCTGCACCAAACCAAAAAGCCAAAAGCCCATAATGCCTCTAAAAGTTGGGATATTGCCAGCAGGAAAGCAGACCAAAGGTTTCATCAACTTAAGCAGCGGATTTGTTTGAGGGCGGGGGCCTAGGTTTGCTATCAGGTGCAAGAATCTTGGAAGTTGATCACACTTCATTGAAAACCCACCCCAGGCCGTGATGTTCATGTTGCCCAGTGCGCTCGAAACCCCAAGCTTTACATACGCATACGCGGCTCTGAAGCAGAAAGAGTCCGAACTCTGGCTAGATAATGGCTCCCATCAGGAAACCAGACTTCATATAAGAGCATTTCAAAGAGCAAGATTTCGCAAGTACAGCAATGCGGAGGCTCGTGCACACTTTGGAGATCCACCAACAAAATTGCTCTCACAAAGTATAGCTTTGCAGTGGAAGGGCGCCAAAGCAATACTTTGAGGGATTAACGGATATTTAGGGATTTAGGTTGAGCTTGGAAGGATGCGGCGATTTTGTTAAAGCATTGCAGGGTCTCTGCTAGAGGACGGGCCAGTGTTTACGGATCCTACTACTTTGGGTCTGCGTTGGAGTCGCTTCTTTTCTGACATGTCATGGATGTGGGTTCAGGTGAGTTCTGAAGCTTCTCTTTATGTGACAAGGTCTAGAGTTTAGGGATTTCAGGACTTTGGGGTTCGGATTTGGATGTAGTACTTAGGGTTGAGGGGTTCAGGCCCTTTTAGGCTGCGGGTGTAACGTCGATACTCCAGAGAGACCTTCGGCCAGTAACACCTCCCCCCCCGCCCAAAGCAGCCCAGTGGCATGGCGGAGCGGGTAAGACCGACGCGGTCACCAGTGATGGTCACATTGCTCTGTGGCACAATGGTGAACAGAATCTCCTTCATGAAGCCCAAGACCTCAGAGGTGTAACATCTTGATTGAAAGTTTAGGGCTTATAGGCTTGCTCTGGCATGGGCGGGTGGGGAGGGGGGGCGGGGTGAAATTCAGGGCACTTAGCTGTTTTACGACCTGTAGGGCTTCGAGCTGCAAGCCTTTATACTTCATACACCCTGGATCCTCAAAGCATAAATAAGATCTCGTCGTGCCTGTTTGCAGTCGAACACTTGACCATAAAACTCTAATCCTGCGCAAACCCTACGCCCTCACCTCACTCCGGAACCTGAAGCCTCGTCTCTCTTTCTGAAACCAGGCAGCCATGTAGAAAATGGCGCCAATCCAGCCAGGGATTCTCCCTTCGCCTTGGAAGCTTATCGGATCCAAGACAGGACAGTGTTGGATTTCGGGATGGCGGCTGCCATACGTCTACGTCCCAGAAGCTTCCAACCTCCTTCCAACAACAAGATCATTTAAACGAAAGCACGCATCTCGTCCGACTTGAACAGCCCGTTCAATCCAAAACGGAAAATCCGACAATTGAACGTTGAAGCCATTGACAACAACCAGCCTCTGTATGCAAGCAACAACTGACGCTAGCGGACAGCTCCGAGAACCTTCAAACTATCCACAAGTCGTGAATCGCTCAAGCCCTGAAACAGCTGCTGAGCAAGGTGCCCTTCATGCGCTGCTCCCGGTTCTTCTCTGCCCTTGACCAGTCCTTCCCCTGTGCATTTAGCGTTTCGGGGATTGCAGGGATGGCTCAAGGCTTGTATTTTAGGGGTTACCGGGAGGGTTTAGGGTTAGTGTTGTTCCGCATGCGGCTTTTGAAACCACTAAACGACTACGCAGCTGAAGGTACAGATCCCTCGAAACTCTGAGCTCTCGTTTTCGATTGCTTGGGACTCCGAATCGAGAGCTGAGGGTCTGGGATCCTGATTTGGAATCCTTAGTCACGTTCCGAGGCTTGTAAGGGCTTAGCAACCATGCCGCTCTGCCTTGTGGCCATCCTTGGCCAGCAAAGGTGCATCCAGTCCGCCGCCAGCGGCAGGTGCGGCAGCCGGTGCACCGGAGCCGACCTGCACTAGGTGACGATAGGATCGAAACTAGCTTGCGGACTTGGGACTGAGCATGCCCCATTTCCTCAACCTTAAAAGCTCGTGCCTGAACCGTAAGCCAACAGGTGACGTTTGCTAAAGTCTCAGAGGCCCTACAGGTGTCCTAAAGAAAGTAAAGCAGCGGAACCCTGAGCCCTTAAAGGCCACTCTGTGTTGAATTCCGAACCTTTCTAAGCGTCGTGGCCCAAGGCCCAAACCCTCTGAGAACATAAGCAGGCCCCAGGCATGTTCAAACCTGAGTTTTTCCCTCACTCTATAACTCAATGGCCCTGCTTTGGCTCAGCACGGACAACGGCAAGAAATCCACTAGGCCGTGCGCAAAAACTCGTCAGTCCTCAAGGCGTACGGACGTAAAATTCACATGTGCAACTTGAACACACGGCCCATAACCTGAAATCCCATGTCTGACTTGCTATCCTCATCCGGGTTCCCTAATTAGTTCTGGACCCCCAAATCCTCTTGGGCCCTCGGAGGGCCTTGCCGATGATGGAATCGGGGGCATACTTTCCGATCACATCCGGCGGGTGGATCCTTGAATGCGAAAGGTATTGCATTTGGGCCCGGGCCGCTGAAGCTTCTTCAAGAACACTTGGCCATTTTAAAGTTGTGTATACAGACCACACCTCGACACTCAAAACAATCATAGCTCCAATAGCAAAATACGCGAGTTTTGCTGGGTTGCCACAGATTGGGATTCAAGTCGTCAACTCCGTCCCTAGAGGCCCTAGACCCGGTAGGGGTGTGGGTTTCAGGAGTTGTGCTAAGAGCTTCCTAACTTTCACCCTTCGTGCAAGAAGGCGTCATGTTGAACTCCTCCGTGGCGTCCTTCCCTGCGCGGTCTGCTTTCGAACAACCAGAGCTCTCTGAACCGACACCCCAGTCCTTACACATAAGCATTGAAGCCTGTACAAGCTTCGGATTGGGACTCTTTGTTGTCCATATATATATATATATACATATACCGAGACTCTGGCCTGAAAGCAACAACTCGTTCTGAAGTGTCTTGTGAATTTGCCGATGAGCACTGGTACAAGCGCATGCTATGCGGCAACCACACAAATATCAAACATAGAACACTAACCTCAACCCATACATCAAGGTGTGAAATGCAGATCCTCAAGCCTGCACCGCACATGGCACAATGCTATTAGAGTGAAGGCATCCGGCGTGGCTTTGCTGCCTCAACCTGCCCAGCTCTCACACGAACATATACTCAGAATAACCCGTTCTCCCTTTACCTTTACCGAACCTTTCCACCCGCCTCCAAAAGAAACAAAACGGTTGAGCTTAGCAACACGGCTCCTTGAATAAGTCGTACATGGAAACTTAAGCATATGAGCACCATTCACAAGCTATCGCACTGCTGAGCCCCTGCAGTGCAGCCTGAAGCCAGTGGATCCCGGTTTAGACTATTAAACTTAGCTTTGAGGTTTGGGGCTTGGGCAACACAAGTTACCGAAACCTCAAAACCAAAATGCCCTGAAGCAAGCGGCAAACCAAATCACGAACCCTCAAACTTAACTTTTAAGCCGAAACTCGTATGAAACCCGTTGCTTTCTTTGCCATTCTTAGATTCTCAAGACTTCAGTCCCTCGCAACCTTCCGCACCCTTAGTAACATAACAAATACTAGACCTCTAAACACTAAACTCCTCTACCGCAGCTCGGAACAAAGCACGCATGACTCATCATGGACTTCTGTTGAAATCATGTCGGGAAGGACGTTTCAGGCCTAGCATACCGCTGGAAGAAGATATGGACCTTCTCTGACATATGAAACCCTACGACAACTAAAGAGACACTGTAAAGACCAGATCAAGACCACGCAGGCTTTGATGCGAACCACAATGTCACAAATCCCGAACTCCAACCCGTAGGCCCGAAACTAAATCCTTCACCCTATATAAGACCTTCATGTAAAATCACCCCCTGGCTCCGAAGCCTCTCAAACCCCTGAGCTCTACGCCTGCAAATGTGATGATGGCCAGCTCGCCGCCCGGGTGTTCGGAGAGGAATGAGGTGACGTCCAAGACCTGGCGAGCTCAAGGGCCTTTTGGGGGTTCAAAGGCTTTGAAAGGAGTTTGCGGATTTGGGGTGATTTGGAGGGAGAGGGGCCTCGGCAGATCCAGGACTTCAAACAGCACAGAGACTATTAGGGTGTTTAGTGTGGTGCCTTCAGGAAGGTTGGAGATGTAGGGCTTCGAGAAAAGGAGGACATCCTTCATCTGGGCCTAGCCGGCGCATCCGTCTCACAGATTCTGGTGCTGACACCCTTTTCTTGCACTCGCAGATTCGGGCGTCCCAGGTCTGAAAGCTCACACCTCGGAACCCGAATCCCTCAATAAACCCGGTGCCTGGCCATCCACCACCACCTGAGCCGAGTCGCAGGGTTTTGTAGGGCTGGATTCAGTTGAGGATAACTTATTCTGATGTAGAGGTTCGCATAATGATGATGCTACTTACTATTGATGATCAATAGTAGCATCATCATTATGTGAAGCAGACTATCTTGCACTGGAATAGACTGTAACAAAGCACCAAGACCCTGAAGCCTACATGTACAAACCCCAGTTACGCACCAAGACCTAAACTCCGACATCTACACCTCAAATTCTGAACATTCAATCCCTAGCCCTAACTAGCCTCCGTTCAATTCTAAAGTCATTTTGGGGCTCAAGGTCTGAGGCTTGTAGTCGAGGGCTTCGGGGCTTGCGTGGAAATTCAGGTACTGGCTTGTCTGAATGCCGCAGCTGGAAAAACTGTGGCAGTGTGTTGCTGACTTCGATCGACTCCATCCCCGACAGACTACTCCCGCAAGCTCTGCTCAGGGCTTCCAGCTTACCTAGAGGACGGATGGTCTTAACACCTCGAACGTAAAATCCCTAAACCCCAAACCCAAACCTTAAACCCCAATGATTGCTGGCCGGGGACCCTCTGTGCTGTTCCCTCCCAACCCTGGCCTTGAAACTCTGAACAAAACCCGCTCTTTTATGCGCCGGGCGTTGGGTGTAGGTTCGGGGCCTAGAGGACGACCAAACTCTCTATAGAATTAACGTTCAAGTACAGGGGACTGAACGCCAACATCTCCCAAAGTCTCAACTCATAGGATACTGTAAGCCGCAGCCGAGCAAACTCTGAAGCCGAGGCGGTGAAGAGAATTGGGCTTGGGATTCCCTCAGCTGAACCCGAGCATCGGCACCCTAATCCCTGCCGAAGCCCCGCTTTGAGACCCTCCTAATTATGAAAGTCCCCCCCCCCCCAGCACTGAAAACTCTGAGCACGGACGGTTTCTCGGGCTTCGGCCCAGCAGTCCGTTTTGCTGTTGTGCTTGGCGACTTCCTCCCCGGTGGCAGCATTGAGTCACGGGCTCAGGGCCACTCTGACGCTTGAATAGTTTAGGGACTGTATGGCTTTAGGGCTTTGGGTTTCCGAAACTTTCGGGCTGACAATAGAACGAAACAGACGTCCAGGATCTGATGGCATGACAACGAGGCCTGAACACACCCTAGTAATGACAACCCTGCAACAAGACTTCGGGAAAGCCACACTGAAACCATGCCAGCTTGTTGAATCTGTGTTGCATTAGGGGGTTCATGTGCAAGAGCAAGAGCAGAAGCAAGAGCCGAAGCAAGAGCAAGGGCAGGAGCAACAGCAGTGAACTTGAGACGCTTAACCACTGTGTACTGCTTGATGTCGTGCCGATCTTTACTCGAGATGAAAGCATGGTTGCTGCCTTGACACCTTCGTCTGCTTCTGGGGGTTCGGGTTTGTATCGGACTCCACATCTAAGTGGACTTGCGAAGCCATCATGGCGAAGGCTGAATTCTGCGAAAAAGCAAGCAAACTGGCTTGGGGGAAGAGTTCTACACTCGATTTGAGTGGGGGTGAGGGTACATGCTCAAAATGCTCCACGGAATCGGGTTTCAGACAGGGCTTGAGGGACTTCACCGTCTAGCGTTCTGAATGAAACCTCTACGTCTAAGTTGCATGGGCTCAGGCTTGGGGTGGCTGGCGTATGCTTCGTTACAACAAGCCCCATGGCCCAGGCGCGTCCGAATCCGGCCATTCAGAGCTGCGGTTGTTAAGTTGCTTGTTACATACGCTCTCAGCAAAATCTATGAAAGTCTGCAGCCCCTAGACCTTCTTTAAGCCCTCTCCTCCATCGTGATGCCACCACCGCCGCCGCCGCCTTCGCAACACGACGGCTTCTGGAAAGGGGCCCGACCTAAAGCCCTGCTTGCTCGGGTAGCGCGCAAGGCTGACGAATTGCTGTGCAGTTTCCCCATGGCAGTGTGGACCAACTCGCATCACACCTAAATGACAGTTCTGCGAGAACCCTGACAGCAGGATCCCTGATCAAAGCCATGTTCATAATCAAGTGTGTGCTTTCATTCGTCAGTAAAGGAACCACCACAAAACCCTTCTCCTCATAAACCCTGACAAAGAATCTTTGGCATCATCCTCCCAAGTGTCGGAAAAGGTGTTGAGTCCGGACGGCTCATGCAAGACGTGCTGCCCACACCTGCAGCCCTAAAACTTTTGCTTAGGTGTTCTATGTGTAATCACCCCCCCCCCCCCACCCCCCCAACCCCGCCTTCAAGGCCCAAACCCTGAAACCTGAACTCCGTGCCTCCCGCGGCCGCCACGGCCCCGCCGCCACCTCCTCCCCCACCGATCATGCCGATTACCGAGTCGGGAGCATACTTGCCGATGACGTCAGGCGGGTGGATCCTTAAGCTCCGTTCGGGATGTGGAGGCTTTATTCAACAGCAGCAGCACAATAGCAATAACTTTGATGTTCGCAATCATTTGAATCAGAATAAAAAGAGCAGGTAGCAATTCAACCTGCATGATAATAATCATAGTTGTGACAACGAGAATGGTACCAGTAAGTTCGTAGACGTCGTCGTCGTATTCTCAGGCGTCGTCGTGATCGTCGTCTTTGTGGTCGTAGTCGCAGCCGGGAAGCAGTAAGAGTAAGAGTAGCAACAGCAGCAGTACCAGCAGTACCAGCAGCAGCAGCAGCAGCAGCAGGCAAAAATTATTAGTAATGCTGACAATGCTAGCAATGGCAATGACAATGGTCATGGTAGTGAGAAAAGTTTTCTATGCGACATTATATGTATGTATGTATGTACGTATGTATGTATATATATATATATACACACACGGACACACTTATGCGGGGTTGGGGCTGCACGTCCTCTTGGTTCTTGCTGTGATCGGAGAATATCAGTTTGGCTAATGGCTTGATCAACACATACTCATACGTCATATATAGATACACCCACACATAGATGTATACACATGTACCCTGTGCACATATGTATATATACACACGTTGTACATACGTACACATATATATATATATATATGAACAAGATTGAATGAGAGAGAGAGAGAGAGAGAGACAGACCGGCAGAGGGCAAGAGAGAGAGAGAGAGCGACAGAGAGCGAGTGAGAGAGAGAGAGAGAGACCGAGAGAGCGATCGGAAGAGGGAAAGAGAGAGAGAGAGAGAGCGAGCGGGCGAGTAGAAATTGCAAGGCCAAGAAGCTCGCAGTTGCGGGGCAGAGCTTGGAAGGGCTCTTGGCACTGCGGGGTAGAAATATCGGTCGTTTGGATCTTAGCCTCTCACCTGGAGGTGAAGAGATGCAAGACTTAGATTCGGAGATTGTAGAAGCCAAGCTTCATGTTGAACTCCTCCGTGGCATCCTTCCCGGCGAAGGTGAGGATAGCCAGCTCGCCACCGGGGTGCTCCGACAAGAAGCTGGTGACGTCGAGCACCTGACCATCGACCACCACCCAGCAGTCCGTCTTGGTGTTGTGCTTGGCCACGTCTGCGAGGCTGATGCCTCCGCCACCACCGCCGCCAGCCGCGGGCGCAGCTGCAGCGGCCGCCGGGGCAGCAGAGTTCATCTTGTCCTCGTAGGAGCCGCCAGCCAGCTTAGAGCTCTCCACCGCGCCAGTCAGCCCTCCGCCGGTGATTGTGCAGAGGTCCACATCCTTCATGTCCGCGCCCAACATGTACTTGGCAGCTGCCTTCCCGGCCACGCGGCCGAACACCACGCAGTCCAGCAAGGAGTTGCCTCCCAAGCGGTTGTTGCCGTGCACGCCGCCCGCCACCTCGCCGGCAGCGTACAGGCCCGGAATGGCTTGGTTGTTGGAGCCAACACAGGCGGAGTCCGTGTCGATGAGGAGACCACCCATGCAGTAGTGGATCACAGGCGTGATGATGGCCACATAGAAGGGCTCGGACTTCACGGCAGAGCCCGGGATGATGTTGTGATAGAACTTCTTGCCGCTGCCTGTCTTTCCACTGGCCTCATCCCAGCACTTTCCTGAGGGGTACGCGGGCCATTTGCCTCCTTCGGGATCCTTCTCCATCATCTTGGCAGCCTGGTAGTGGTCCTCGTGAGCCTTCTCGATCACGGACAGGGAGATGCCCATGTCCTTGGCCAAGTCCTCACCGCAGTTGTAGTACTTCATGACCTTACCGCAAGCAAAGACTGTCTCACGAGCGCAAGAAGCTCTACCATTTCATTGTCTACGAGCTAAAATCACGATCGCTGACATGCAAACTTGTTCGGCCCCGCAATACAAGTGATTTTCGGGTCGAAGCTTACTGGGGCGCGGAAGGCTTTCGGGTTGGATTTCTGTGCTTGCAGGTCTCTTTTCACCCCAGGAAAGCCTAGGCCCGAAAGCCTGAAGCCGAAGTCCAAGAGTGGAGTGCCGGGGACCCTGCTCCACGGCCGGTGTAGTGCCTGTTGGGCGACGCTTCGGGCGAGGCTTCGGGCTCAGGGCCTTTCTGTCTGTTCGGGCTGTAGGGTTTCCTGAAGTTTAGCTGCTGCCAATGCTCCAGATGTTCTGGGGTTTCCATTATTACAAAACTGCGATTGGCGCAAGGAAACACCATGTGCTCCAGCCCTCGAATGGGAAACTTCGCGTAGCTCCTCTGCACTACACGAACCATCCCAAAAACGAACTAATTCTATCTGCTTGGCCAAGATGAGTTTTAGTCACAGGGGCAGGGGGTTGTGGCTGTTCCGATACAGAAATTGAGCCACTGTGTTTTGGGAGCTGGGCTACTTCGGGGGCTTCGGATTGTGGATTCGCTGCTCAGGTTCACGTGAATCCTACATCCGCTCATGCCAAGGCTACCATAGCCCAGCCGAAAACGGACCTTGCTCAAAACACATAGCCTATACTATGCATGCAAAGAAGGCAGAAGACAGATGAAGACACATCCAGAAACACATCCCAATATAACTGCCAGAGAACCGAACAAACATACTGTAAGCCAGCATGAAAACCCACCAAGGCGTCGACTTGCAGTGCCAGATGATCTCGTCGCTCGCGGCCTTGTTGAGGCAAAGCCTCAGCCGCGGGTTCGGTCAGGACACGTAGGGCTTCGGCTGCGTGCTTCCTAGATACACACAAACGTGATGGATGGATGGATGGATGGATGGATGGATGGATGGATGGATGGATGGATGGATGGATGGATGGATGGATGGATGGATGGATGGATGGATGGATGGATGGATGGATGGATACCTTTCACGTCGAGGCCATCAGGATCTGCAGGGTGCCGAGTTTCTGCAGGGTCTGCGGGGTGAGCAACGAGGCTCGCAAGTGACCCCGTAGACTAGGAAACAAGCGCTCGCTTCAGCCTGAAGGGGGGAGCTGACAAAGAAGGCGAGGCGGGCACCACTCGTTGAAATAAAGATTCCCCGTGCTGGCTCCGGCATCCACGAAGCTTGGCGGGAATGACGGCAACAATACCAGCAAGACTGGCACTGTCATCCATGCATGGACGCACTGCAGGTGCTCAGAACTACGCGACATGACAATTTCAAGTATCGTGAGTCTGACGACAACGTGATCACAATGGCGATGAGCATCATAGAAGCCACATCATCGCAAGACCAACAGCCATCCTAAGATATGCAAAATATCACAGCCGTTGTAAACATACATGAAAACCATGAAGCTTATTACATTCAAAGGCACGATGCTGAGAATCCAACTTGCTTAAACCCAAACCCGAAAGAAAGCAACTGTTGAATATGCATTCTCATAGGTTCATATTACGGAGAGAATGGCATCCGGGGAGCCGGAAAGGCGGCTTGCTCTTCCACATCTCGCCGGTGACGTAATCCCGGCCTTAAGCTAATGGTTGAGGGTTTTGGGGCTTTGGGTAAATAACGGGTTTCAGGGCTGTCAGGATGTTGTAGGGTTTCGGGTGTGGGTGCTTGTAGGGTTTAGGATGTTTAGAGCTTTCATGGTTTGGGGTTTTCCCACCCCAACAGTCTTCCCGCGCACCATTCATTCATTCTGCTTGCTCTGTGCTGGTAGTCATGATCAGTACCGCCATTGCTCCTCTCGTTATGGGCTCTTTTGTTAAGATCTTTTGGAAACAATGTTGTCTGATTTTCTCCGGATGCTTCAAGCTTTGGGTTTACAGGTCCTAAGCCCTGCTTCATGAATCAAGCAGGCCATATGCAGGGCCGGTTATCAGGATAACCGGGGCAGTCCTTAGGTTTTCAAACTGGAAACTCTGACATCCCTTTGTTCCAGCAGCTTGGTCGTTCCTCGGAGGATCCATGCTTCCGTGTGCCTTTCTAGTCCAGGGCATTATTGCATACGGCAGCCGGGATTTCGGGATTTCTTCCCGGTGTTGGAAAGATTAAGTCACACTGCATCACGCTATGCATGTCCGGCGTGAGCTGGCTAGAAAGCGTGTCTACAAAACCTGCTCCAACTTTTCTGTTTCTCAAAAAGGAGAGAGCCCACGTCTGAACTTCCTCGGTAATTCTTATCAAAGCTCATAGGTAGGCGTGGCATTGCAACGAAAGACTGCTCAGAAACTGACCTCTACAACCTCGGAAAGCCCTAAGGGAACTGGGAACGGCACGCCCAAGCTCGTTGCAGAAGCGCTCTCCTGTCTAGTCGCTGCATGAAATCGGACCCTCCCTCCCACCACAAAAACCAGAACACAACTCCTTGGTTTTCGTGTCAAGATCCCTACGAAGTTAGGGTTTGCAGTACATCGTTTTCCTGGGCTCTAGGCTACTTGTCGACTCTGAACTAGGAAAGCCTTGAAGAAATGTTCGTGGAGGAGTTTAAGGTTGCGGGGCGTATTCGGATTCCAAGGCTTTTGAAGTCAAGGCTTTTGGACCTTCGGGTTCGGGTTTGAAGCTTCAGGGTTGGGGTCTGGGGTTGCGGCTACTTACATCCATATGGTTGGCTCGCTAAAGTATAGGTCTCTGATCGAATCCTGAAGGAAACCGAATCACGTTTATGCCAAGGGCCCTAAAATGGAATCCTAAATTTATCGTATCCCCGTTCCCATATTGTCACCGCCGCGAACTTGCTTGAATAGCTGTTCCCTTTAGAATTGGCCTTTCATGCAGGACGGGATTAATCTTCAAGCCATTCTCACTTTCGGTCTTGGGAACTCTTTGAATGGTTGATGGCTTGGGGCTTTTTGGGCCCGGATGCCTCGCAAATCCCGAAATTCGTCCTGCGAATGTCAAAATGTCGACTTCAACATAAACAGTAGCGACTGCCACATAGCCTGCCCCACAAAGGATAAGCCCGACATCTTCCAAGGGCTAGGTACAGTATAGTCATACGGAAACGAAGCGCTGAAATAAGCCTAAGTTGCCCGAAACTGCCCTAAACACGGTTACTTCACGAGCATGAGTTTCAGAACTTAAAGAGACTGATGTAGAATAGTAAGCTCTTTTTCTATGGACCCCTAAGTAAAGTACCCAAAATCCCAAGAACCTCTGCACAAAGCACACCCTGAAAAGAAAAACAAATCCTTGGAAAACAAGGGCCGATATACTTGCATCCATGAGTCACGTGGCGATGCAGTAGCAGGTCTTGCGTTCTTTAAGGCTGTCGTGTTTGGCGATTTTGCGGGAGTCTCAATGTTTTTGCGGGTGCCAAGGCCCTAAGCTCTTAAGCTTGAAGCCCCAAGACCAGGAACCTGAAAACGCAGAGAACCTGAAGCGAAGATCCTTCACTCCTTTACCCCTTAATCCTGAAAGAACCCGAAAAGTGTGAGTCCTGGCCAATCCTTCACAAGCCAGAAGCCTAAACTGTAGATCGGCAGCCTTCCGCATTGAGGATGATGCCGCCCACGCCACGGAGCGCCTTACAGGTTCACCGTGGTAGTACAAGGCCGTTGGGAGTTCGGACTTTAGGGTTTCTGGCTTGGGGGATACAACATGGGGCTCGCTTAACATGCCTGCCTGCATGGATGCATGCATGCATGCAGCAGGGATACATGCATTAACGCATACAAACACTAACATATGGACAAACACGACTACACAGTACGTGCATGCATGCATGCATGCATGCATGCACAGACGCATTTTGGACCTACTGTGCACATTACCCACCTGCTACTTACCTACCTACCTACCTACCTACCTACCTACCTACCTACCCACCTACCTACCCAGCTGATACCTACATACCACCCGCCCACCCACCCACCCACCCACCCACCCACCTACCCATGTGCATACCTATCTTGCTACCAAAACCACCTCGCTACGAAGCTACCTACCTACCTACCTACCTACCTACCTGCCTACCTACCTATACCTCCCTGCCCCTACGTATGTACGTACGTACATACGTACGTACGTACGTACGTACGTACGTACGCATTCATACATATACACACTTACATACACGCAAATACACATACACACACACACAGAGAGAGACAAGCAGAAAGAAAGACAGACAGACAGACACGCATACAAACAGTGATATACGAGTACATAGAAGGATACAAAAACACATACGAACATATACAATGTACATACATGAATACACACATGCACATGTACCTTTTACCGTATCTGACGTGACATGACGCGACCTGCGGACGGACAGCTGGACGGACGGGCGGGCGGACCGACGGACAGTTTAAAAAAGAAGTATATAAAACGTTGTACACATGGTTCGGTCTTTGCATATGTGTGTGTGTGTGTGCAAATATATACATATAAATTAAATATAGATCGGAAAAAGAGTGAGAGGGAGGCAGAGAGTGGGACAGAGGGAGGGAGAGACATTGAGACACCCCTTTACTATGGATCGACCTCGGCAGCCAAGAACTTGATCTTGGCATCGGCGTCATCCGGCTTCACAAGTCCGGTTGGGTGAACCTCGAGATAAGGTCTGAAAGGGTCAAAGGTTCAGGGCGAATCCTAAACCCCAGAAGTGCTAAAAAGTACCAAAGCTATAATGAAACTACAAAGCCTGCACTAAACCCATGGAACGCTCAATTCGGGAGTAGGTTCTGGCTTCGGGGTCTCTGGCTGATTGCTCTAGACTCTATATAGGGCCTTCACAGGCGTATTTCTGGGTCGGGTATGTAAATCTTCTGGGTTGAAAAGCTTCCGGAGGATAGTGAACCACGCAGTAACAGTCAAACAGCCGACGAGGGCTGTATTACAGATTATAGAGTACAGGCTGGTCATCCCCAACTTCGAACAAGCCAGCACAGGCATGACTAGAGCTCCGAAAACTACGGCATTGCTACAATGACTGTATCACTGTATGAACCCTGTCGATAATAATTGTAGCATCGTCCTCGTGCCACTAGCGGCATGCCCAAGTTGCGATTTGTGTTGTCAGTGTCACAGTAATTGGAATTTCGCGATGTCGGAGTATCAGCTCTTTGCTCGGGCGTCATGTTCAAAGCTCAGGAGCGTGGGTTCTGAGCTGTGTAGAACAGACCCTGACCACTTCGAGTCGGTGCACCTGCACCCACTCCAGGTCGATGGTTTTCGCGCCGATCGCCTACGTGAAAGCACGCAAGGTATGGCTTCATGGCCCTCATTACGGTCAAAAACTTGGGGAAGGGCGTCTTGCGCAGCTGCAGGCAAAATAAACGTTCAAATGTAGCGTCGAATTGCCTGTAAGCTACAGCCTGGGCTACTGCGACATTACATTGACTCGCTCGACTTCAAAAGTGAATACTCCTGTGGGCGCTAAACATACCCAACCCCGCAGCAAGACAGCATCGGGGACCAGGAGCTTGAAGACAATGCCCCAGCTCAAAGAAAACACGTTGACATGGAGGTTCCAAAGGCCCTCTTTCCAGAGCCCGGCTCGTCTCGTGCAACGGGTCAGGTGGGGCCCCTCACCTCGCCCATCTTGATGCCGTCGCCGGTGCAGTGCTCACCGTTGGTGGTGGGCCTCGGGGCTTTAGGGTTTAGGATTCTGGACTTGAGGGTTTTGCAGGGATTGGGGGTGTAGGGCCTATGTGTAGGGAAGTTTAGACTTCAAGCTTCCGGCAGTCGGACTCACGGGGATCCTTCTTGGTATGTACAGCGTCGAACAGCTCCATCATCCTCAAGCCCTGAACTTTGCAAAAATCACCCACAGAGAGAACTCTTATAGGCTTAGCGAAGACCATGCAAACCATGGAGTTTCAGCAATTAAGAGGCGAATGGTTTGTGGGTCTTGCCTAAATCCAAAAAATCCTCGCGCCCTAAGCTCTGATCATTCACCTGGAACCTATATCCCCAAGAATCATATGCGAGATGTGCTAAACCCACTCGAACCCACTGTCAGCGCGAACCGAGGCTCAGTAGGGTTTCGGCTCAAGGCTTTGCAACGTAGTGTAAGGTTGGACTTCATGGTATAAAACACAGCAGGAAGGAAGATTCCCAAGATAAAAAGATAAACACCAAAACGGAGCCTGCAGCATAATTAAAGGGGTTGGTGGCGAGGCGAGGATGAGGATATGAACAGAGTCTCCTGTTCAGGGCTCAGGATTCGGCAATCTCTCATCACATCTACGCACCCCCGAGCCCCTTTATGTGGAGGGGCCCCTAACCGAGCGAACTTAAGTGTTGGACACATCTTGTGCAGTGTGCGCATGTACGAGAGATTCAGAAAATATTGTCGCCATACAGACCCTATATAATGAGCCAAACCTCTGTGTAGGCCTAAAGACCCTTGAATTCCTTGGAGATTGGGATTGTATCCATTGCTGCCGCGTGGCAGGTGCAGAAGGTCCGGCCTGTATTTGGCAAGAAGCGAGTCCTGTCACTGCCAGTTCAAAGCCTTGGGGAAGGCTTTATAGACTTTGGGCACTGCCGGGTTGAGGCGGGACCACCAACGCGGCATGAGCAACTGGCGACGTTGCATCCTGAAGCAACCCTGGCTTCAGGCCATTTCAGGACTCAGGAACAGAGGTTTAGGTTTTGGACAGGAGTTAGGGGCCTCGAAGGCCCTTGTATGCCTAGCTGGGCCGGAAACAAGGCAGCTATGCACTCAGTGAGGAAGCGCCAAAGAATTGACATCCTAACGAAGCCAACGACCTACGTCCAGCTAACCCCCTAGCTCAAAAGCTCTGTGACGCAACAGAAGTCCTGAGTGAAATCGGCGCCGAAGCCACCTGCTCAAATAGGGCTTGGGGCTTAGAGTAGACACAACACCCGACGACTTTTGACACCCAAAAGCCCGAAACAAAAGCCTTCATGCTGACTTCAAACCCTCAAACCTCGAAGCTCCCAACCCTCCAGAGCCAGGGTTCCTCGCACCCGAAACCCTACAATCCAGAAGCCCAAAACCATCCGAACTCTGAGACCCAAAGCCATCAGTGCCTATAACGCCCTTGCCAGCATGGCAAGGCTCGAGCTGCGAAATGGGAGAGGCTTTAAATGGACTAGGATGTTGGAAATCAAGTCTTGCAGGCTTGGGGATTGAGGTTGGGTTTCAAGCCATATGCTCAGTGCTCAGGGATGCTCAGGGCTTTAAGCTTCGGTTTAACGCTTACGGCTTTTCGAGTTGGGCTCAGCGGCTTAGCATTGAGAATTTCGAGCTGGGGATCACGGTTGAGGATGTCGGATTCAGGAGGGGCCAGGGTTAATTGTTCTCGGGTTTGGGAACCTACAGGAATACGGCTTGGGATTTAGATTTGCAGCTTGAGATGTCTGAGCCAAGCCCTAAGCTGCAACTCCCAATTTTCTAAATGCGAGACCGAGCCGCGCCTCCTGAAGCTATTTTCGGTAAACCTGAACTAAGATCATGTGAAACCCTGGCCCGATCCGTGGGAATTATTGCCTCAGCCCAGAAGGTGGAACGAAGCTGGGCGCCACAGTAGGTGAGATTCAGAGCCCCTGTAAGGCTTATTGCTTTGCTTGGAAGTCGCTACGTACCTTCATGCCACCCGCTGGAGCCTGTTGAACCATCCTAGGCTGCAGACCCAGATCCGCCTGAAGCCAGAATCACAGGACCAAACTCCTGGAGATTGATCCCACCTTTCTCCTCGGCTGAGGGTTGAGGGTTTGAGTTGAATCTTCAGGCTTCATCAGTGATGATGTTCATGGTTTGGCCTGTAGGGGATTGCAAGGTATGGAGCGTCAGGGCAGCGGGTTCGGTGTGATTGCTTTCCGTCCGATGTGGGCTTTGATCTGCGCTGAACTCCTCAAGCAATCCCGGATGATTTCAGGGTCGAGCTTTCCGGAGAATTCCGCCCTCTTCCTGTGTCTGATGCATGGTAGTAGGGCTGAGGGCCATTCAAAATATCCACTCAAAATCATAGGGAATGACGCATCCGCATACCTCTCAGGCCTGTCAGACTGTCCACGAGTCCGGCCTTTCGAATTCCACCAGTGGTTGTGAACAGCTGCAGACACTCAAGTACTGTCATCATGTTCGGCGCCCTTCGTTTTCAACGTTTGCCATTCTAGCTGATGAGCAACGTGGTAGAAAGACTGCTGGCAACGTCAAAACTGGCATGAGTTGATACTGCTGTGCAAACAAGAGTGCGGTTGTCCAAAGAGACAGTTACCGACCTGATTGCTGCGACATTCTAACAGACAAGCAAGGCTGCAGAGACGATTACTGGCTGCCGCAGCGGCGTAGACGCAGCCGACGCAAGCATTGCCATTGGTCACGAGCTTAAAAACCTGGCATCCAGGCTCCCGGCTGAAGAGCACAACTTCCTTAACCCGAAGGCCTGACAACTTCCAAGTCTAAATACGAAACTACCCTGGAGCATTCTGGGTGATGACTTCTCGTCCGTCTCGCTTCGAACAGAAGACTTCTGACCATGGTACGTTCACGGGCGCTTCGACTGGCAAGGATGTCGAGGAACAACCAAAAGAGTAGACTAGACGTGGCCTTTGGGTTGAACACTTCTCCCTTACCTTGAATCTTAAGACCCTGAGTTTTCCCAAGTCTTGCACCTCATAAGACCCTTACGTGATAAATCCATACAAAACCTGAAGAGCCCTGCTGCTTAGGGCCCTTAACCCGGATCCCAACCTGGTTGCAATAGTCGTCTGATCTTTTGAACCCCTTCCCTTCGTTAGTATTAATAGTGCGCTTCCTGATTCAGACCCGTCAGAAACTACAGCAACCTACCAGATCTCCAGGGGTCCTAAAACACAGTGCCTTGGCTTTGGTGATGATGCGGGCAAGGTCGGTCTTCTCCGCCACCTGCGAGGCTATCTAGAAACCCCGTTCATCTAACAACAAAGGTCCCCTTTGCCCAACTTGTGGCAGCCCCAGCCGGAGACGCAGGCGTAAAGAGAGGGCCTCCTATCTGGAGGTCAGTTGGTGGTCTCTTCATGGGATCTAGAGTCTAGAATCGTCTAGAAGATGATACTCGATTTTCGTAGGACGTCTGCTGCACGTCAAGCCGCTGGTCCTGTACAGCACTGCTCACCACCATGGCCGGCATTCCCGCATGTGACGATAGATCCATGGTCAAGTACATCCAGAAGTTTGGATCTGCTGCACATCTCGCAGCTGTTCCTGCACAGCACTGCTGTCGCCACAATGGTCGGCTCTTCCCCAGGTGGCCGCAGATCCATCAACCAGGATTGCAGCAAATGCCTCACCAGCAGCTTGGATCTGCTGCACTTTTTGCAGCTTATCCTGTACCGCACTGCTGCCGTCGTTATCCTAGGTGCACAGATCCATCAACCAGGATTGCAGCGAATGCACAATCAGAAGCTTGGATCTGCTGCACATCTCGCAGCTGAATCTGCACTGCCTTGCTGTCGCCACCGTGGGCCCCAGGTGACCACGGAGCCATAACCAAGGATTGCAGCGAATGCACCATCAGAAGCTTGAATCTGCTGCACAGTCTTCAGCTCCTCCTGTACGGCACTGCTGTCGCCACCCCAGTCAGCACCACTCCAGGATCACCCAGGAGCGCGGCGAACGCAGAGAATCTACCGGTCCCCTTGATGGCTTTAAGCTGGACTTGGTTCGCATGTAAGGTCAGTACGTCTCCACTCATCAACTTCGCTTCTGTTATTGTTTGTGCTCCGTCCAGCACCTCTCCAGCAGAATGCAGCGGCTGCCCTCTACCCGGGATCACCAGAGCACTTTGGGCACACTGCTTCAGTGACTCAACGGATGCATCCGCCGTCACTTCCAGACTTCCAGAGAGGCACTCTTGCCACTCAGCAGATGCACATCCGCGGAAATCGACATGATGCTTCGTAGGGTGGTCGCTTGCCCGCAAGACTACAGCAAGCTAGACCATGTGTTCGTACTTCCGCTGGCCATCGCCTAGCACCGTGACTCGTGCTCCAACGCCTCTGTGTGCCCTGAAAAAAACCTACATGCGGCAGGGTTTTTTCAAATCGGGCACGCAAAAGCCTTCAAACAACGTGCCCTGGGCACTAGACTCTACAGCCGTCGCCTCGAGCCCGAACTCACCGGCTCTGCAAGTCTCATCCTGTACCAGAAATAATCTTGTGAGCAACCCGAATACAAGGGCTTTAGGGTTTAGGGGATAGGGTCTGCTTGTAACTGTGGGTTCGCAAATCTAGTTTCTTGGGCTTGAAAGTAGTCTACTTTCAATCCGAAGAGGGCTCTTGCCGCTTGGGGTAAGAAAGAGGGTAAACAACTAAAGGCTGTCGGGCTTTAGCTGATTCGGCTTTGGGGCTTCGGCGTTAACCTGAATCTAGATTACGCTAGGGATCCTAATTTGATCCGAAGGCCCTTGAAGAAAGACAGGGGATTTCGTAACCGGGTTTGCATTGCTATCAGAATAGAGCTTCGAAGGGGGAGGGCTTAAACTAGCGAACCCAGAGCGCGCATGAACCTTGTTTAGACTAGACGAAATGTCCTGAATTCCCTAAGGGCCCACAGGACCCAAAAACGCACAATTCCAAAGTCCATGCATGCGGGCGTCGGGATTGGGTGAACCGCAACCCCTACTACGGCCCTGGTTCTAACCCGTAAATCATAAGGCCTTTCGCCCTGAAACCCCAAAGACGCCAAAAACCCTATAAACCGGAACCTCTAAATGGGAGCCTCTAAGTGCCGAAAATACCCAAAACCCCGAAATCTCGTACGTAAACCCCTAACGATTCCTAAAGGCCCTAAAGCCCACATCCTTAATCAACCCAAAGCCCTGGACCTAAAAGCTTCCAGGCCACTTTTACAAGACTGAACCCTGAACCATAAGATCGATGGAAAACGTACCAGGTAGGAAACCTTAGCATCGAAACGACTGCGACTGCCAGTGCTAGGAGCCTTCTCGAGCATTTGGATCAGCGCGTACGTGATGGTCATGCCCGGAAATCGCTCCTCTGGGTTGGAGGGGCCCTGGAGGGGCCCTGGAGGACCTTGGGGCACTCTGCGGCAACGGGTTTAGGTTGGGGATGGTCTAGGGCTCAGACGGTCACGAAATATGGAGTTTAAGACTTAGGTTTCTCAGGTCTGAAGGTTTGGGGTCGAAGGTTCGCGGTCAATGTCTTGGAGTGCAGAGCACCGAGACTGCAGTTGAAAAAGCCTCAGGCAAATAACCAACAAAAGCCCTAATCCCGCTAGAGAAACTTATGGCTTCCTCTGTTTCGTCCTGAACACAAGTAGCTTCGGATGTTCTTGGTTTTGGACCTGCAATTTTCTTGGAGGACCAGCTGACGTGTAAAACCAAAATCGCAATAAAGGGCTGACTAGCTTGACCTTTTGCGATGGATGCAAGTCCGAACAGCAGTCCTATCATTCACAAGCATATCTTTCCGGTATATCATGAATGGACAACAACACGTGGCAGGGAGCAGACTCTCCTATATAATTATACGTGAGCTGAGCACGGACCACTGAAGACTCCCTGTGCTCAAGTAATTTGGTGCAGGTTCCACGTCGGAACCGAATTCTGCAGCTAGCGACATATACAGTCCGAACAGAACCAGCACGGAGATAACTAGATGAGCATACCAACTATAAGCTCCAACATTATCCCCACAGCTGCCTTTCCGCGGTGCGTTCGCGGCTGCGAGTGTCCTGCGCTACCGTGTAGGATGCTAGAGTCTGCCAAATGTTGGGTTGAGGACTCTGAAGCCTCTGGGTACGCGATTAGGCTTGCGGGTTTCCAGATTTCGGATGCATAGATTCACGGTACAGGCTTCGTCGAAATGAAGGGCATAGGCCTCGTTGTTTGGCTTAGGATGTGAAGGCGTTGTGTTGGTTCGTGATCATTGGACTGCGTGCTCCCCTGGCTTTAGAAAGCATTCGCGGTTGAGATTGGGCAGGCTCAACATAACATGGATTACTGGTGTAGGATTCTGGCCGAGCAAACTCGCTCTTATGTAGATCATTTATGGGCTGTCTTACATTGTAGGTTGGCACATAACCGTGAAAGGTGTAATTTGTCGGGACATCCGCGGGGCAGCTTCTGCCCCAAGTTTCCTAAGCCCAAATTCCGAAGCCCAATCTTTTTGCCCTGAGCCCTCTTTGGGATTAAACCTTTATTCGGCTTGATGAAGCTCGGGCTTTACGGTCGGATGGATGCCTCTTGGGACCTAAACCTGGGAGACCAACACTGTGGTGCAGCGGCTCAGAACTTGATAGGGTCTCGAGGGGTTCCGGCCGGCAACATTCAGCCAAGCAGTAACTATCTCCATACCAAGTGCAGCAGCAATGCTGCTGGTCTATCGCCCGTCGACCCAACTCGATACGATTTCAGACAGCGCCTTTGTACGCAGTCCCTCCAAACCGATGTGCCTCCCAAGCGTGCAACCAGAGACAGGTCCAAGTTGAATTTGTCGACAAGCCAGTCCTCCACGCTTTGCTTCTTTGCTTTTTCCGGGTGCTGAGTTGAAGACTGAGCTGGCTCATGACGCGTGGGTCTGGAACTCAGGGCTCAGGCCGAAAGCTTCCGGACACTTAAGGCGCCAGGTCGGCTGGACCAGAGCTTCAAGCTTGCAGCTATGTGGATCCGTTTGGAGAAACGTGCGCCCTCTAAGCCTTAGGAGCCCTCCACTTTGCAAAAGGCACCACCCGACCCGCTCCCCACGACCCATCCTTGAAGAAGGCTTTTGATTTCGGGGTGTGCGCGCTTTAGCGTTGACTTCGGATCTAGCGGCACGACTGCAAACGGATTCTGATGCTTTTCCAGTGGAGAGGCCAAGGAAGCTTCAGAGTCCGAGTGAAGTAAAGCCGTCTGGATGCTGCCATGGTTCCACATCCGCGGCACTGTTGTCGCAGAGCAGCCTCAGAAGAATCACCGTTCGGCTTTGGGTTGACTGACGGTGGAGGGTTTTACCGGGTTTAGCATTTCGAGGGATCAAAACCTGCACAAACCTGCATGTTGGGCTATGGCCTCTCAACAAAACACCTCAACTTCAACCAAGAATATTTAAACACAGAGCATCACTGCATAAACGCCCTCGTCATCGTCATCATACCATGTTAGGCACACCAGCACACCATCAGCATTAGCCCAAGTGTCAGCATCATCTGCTTCCTCTTCATAAGCCGCATGAGCAGCGTGCCATGCAACCTCCTTGCGACAAAGAACAACATGTCATATTACATGCTCATGTTCATGGTCCTGATCAACATACTCACCTGCATCAAGAGCAGCACCCTTTTCCATCACCATCTCCCAGCAGCAGTGGCAGGACGCCCATCAGCATGACACAGTCCAAATCAGGGACTGCGCTTGGGCTTTGAGGCTTGAAATTTTGCGCTCAAGGGTTGTCGGCGTTACATCATGGCTCCGCAAGGTTCAAGTCTTTAGAGCCGAAAGGGCTCAGAGCTTGTGTAATTCAGGGATTAGAGTCGGAGATCTTTGGTTGCCTGTTGCAAGGTTCGTGGAATGCTGCAGGTGTTTGTGAGATAAAGAGGAAGCTTTTTTTTCCTACCAGTTGCACAGTGCCGCCGAGGATTTGCCGGTCAACGGAACCCTGAATTTTCAGCCCGATGTCCAAAACCACCCTAAAACCCCAACACCCTTCAGGCGCGAATGGCAAACCTCTCCAAGCAGCTTTGCGAGTTCGGGCTTCTTGGCGCCACCTTTCAGGGTGTCCTTGAAAAACAGTGCGGGCTCGAAAGGGCTTCATGAAGACTTCTCAAAAAGTATGCCTAAGATTTCAGATGGTTTTGTTTAAGGGTATGGGTAAGGCTTGGGTTTCCGGGCTAGCGCTAAGGGTTTGGAGTTTAGCAGGATTTAGGGTTGTAGGGTGTGAGGGTGGGGACATACAGGGACGGTGTCTGCAAGTATAAAAAAATTGGGTGTCCAAATTGTAAGACTGCGAAGGATCCACAACGCGATCCTAACTTAAGGCCATGCCCAAAATAGACTAGGCAGCTGAAGGTGTCGGACTACCGTTGGGGCTTATGGTAGGCTTTCGCTTTAAGGCTCAAGTCAATTATCAACTAAGAGCTTTGAGTTGAGTTTTTTCATGGTGGAGGGTTGTAGGGCTGCCTGCAGTGCTTACAGTCCTGAGGGCTTGGATCTAAAGGCCGCTTCGCTTTCCAAGGTGGCAAACTGCAAAGGAGCAGGGCAAGGTTCTCACGAAGAACGGCTCGCCACTCCGAATACAAGTGGGGTTTGCATCAAAGTCTCTTGAAAGGCCCGTTGCCCGAAGCTGCAAACCCAAAGAGAAAACACCTCCTTCCCCGGCTCACTCCAAAAGGGTTGCTAGACCCCTAGAGTCTACATTATTCCTAGCACCCCAACAAAACCTGCCCAACTGAAAAGCCCCCCCCACCCCCGAAGCCGGGTCCGCCGTGAAGATCTCGGCCGTGTCTGGGATGCCTTTGGCCTTCTGGGTCTTCGTGCCTGGAACTTCCGACCAAGACCCCGAAGTAACAGTGGCCGTACACCGGCAAGTAACTGTATTTTTTACTGGAGCACTTTGGGAGTCCAGGTAAGGCTTCTTTACAGGTTTAGGGTTTCTGGGTTCTGAGGCTTGGGCTCTCAGAATCAGCTCCAAAAGCCCAAGGGCCCTTACGCCCAGACTGGCTAAACCCTTGTCCTGCCTGCGCCGTTGATGCCGGACCTCGGAGCAACAAAGTCCAGAAAGTTAGAGACACTCACGAGGTTAAGGTTGAGGGCTGCAGCATAAAAAAGGCTTGAGAAATTTAGGTTCAGGGTGTCTCCGGAAAATCGCAACTGAAACGAAGCCTGAACCCTGACAACTGCCAGAACCCCGGCGACTGCTGCCGAGCTGCGTGGCCTTCGTACTGTTGCCTCCACCTCGAGAGCCCGGTTGTCTCTGATTCTTTTGATAGGGCGTGGTGTCTGTAGTGTTCCAGTTTTGGGTTTCTGTTTGTCTTGGGGCCCTGGGGTTTCCGGTTTAAGAGCTCCAAGACTTTCGGGAGCAAGGCGTTTGGGGTTTCCGGATCCAGGATCCCTTGAAGGTGGGAGTCCCAGGTCCTGGTCCGAATAGACAGGAACAGTAGTATTAGTTCTTCAGGCCCTTGTATGATGTTCACGCGGTTCGAGGCACCGAAATCAGAACTTCAGGAAAGGACCCTAAGCCCTGAAGCCCAATGTATAAATCATACGTAGCGGTAGCGCGTGTTACAAGCACCACCTTGACGGGGGAGCTCCAACCTTCTGAAAGACATGGCGAATGTTGGATTCAGGATCCTGCTTCAAGTTTCAGTGCACTTTCATACTGTTTGCATCAGCTTCATGACTTCGTGCTGGGACGCCCGTGGTCTCAAACATCAAGCTGCTCAGCTTCAGAATCCAGGATCTCACAGCTTGGAAAGCTTGGGACTAAGAGGGGAATTCTCTATGTCAGGGTCCTGCTTTCCAAGAGTGATGCACGTTTGCTGGTGGGCCCTTGTTTCGAGAACTACCAAGTAACGTGGGTTTTTACCAGGATGATTCTCTGTCAGCCCTGAAGCCAATCGCTGATCCCTGCAACCTAAACTTCCTAAATCCTACAGCCTCTCCCTGAACTCTGTATGCTAAACCGTAGCTGCTCCATTAAGCATTCAGCGTCCGAAGTTTCGCGAAACTGTGCACCCAAACCACCTGTTCACTTCTCGAAGCGCCGACCGAAAGGCTTCCAAAGCACTGATGGCTTATGACTAATCTTATGTTCCGGCTTCAGCTTATCCACTTGCCAAACCTAAACCTCAAAGCCCTCAAACCCTGAACACCAAACCACACACCCATATACGAAGCTCCAAACTCCGGTCCGGAAACCATACCCGAACCTAACAAAACCTACTCTTACGTAGAGTCGTATAAAGTTAAGCTTTGGAAGCTTCGAGTCTTGCCTACGCTTCCTTCCGCCAGGCGGCAGAAGGACGACTTGTCCAGCAAGACCACCCTCCCACCGTGCTCCACCACAGTGTTGGCTGCAGACATACCTGCAGGGTCTATGGTAGGGTAGTCGAGCTTTACGGCTTGTGGGTTTCAGGACCTCGGATTCAATCCCAGCACAAACCTACACTACCTCTCGGCTGTTTCGTGGTTTAGGATCTTGCTACACGGTGTAGAGACCTCTCAGCCCTCAACCGTGCTCAGGGCTTGACAGGCCTTCAGATAGAGTGCCGGCTTTGGGGTCAAGGTACTGCTACAGGAAGGGACAAAGCTGAACCCTTGGCTCGGTTGTCGACACGACTTACAAAGCCCCTTGGTTTGAGCCATTGAATTTCGAGGAGATAGGCTTGTGGGCTTGGGGGTTGGGGGCCTTGAAGAATACCTCCGCTGGATCCCGTAAACCCCGATGCCGAGACCGACAAAACCGCAAACCCCGAACGATGCCCCAAGCCCACAACATCTCTCGTCTGACCAAATGCAAAAAAGATCCTGGGTACACTGCCCAGCATGAACTATCAGGGAAGTCGCACTTATTCGCAAGTCCACGTAGATGCCCTGTTAAATCACCCGAAAAACACAGGAAGCCCAATACCTCCAGTTATAATTAGACCATGCACCTCACATCATATCAAGGGTCCTGTTATAATTTCAAGGCATGCTAAAGCAATACATGGCAACAAACGACATACAAACCCAATACCTTACAAACCCATTAAAAATGGACATTTCCCGGCCTCCCAATCCGCCACCCACGACGATGGCTTGATTGGTCGGAAACGAGCACGCCATAGTTGCAACAAAAACCTCCCGTGTTGGCGCTCTAAACAAAGTGAAGGGGGTCTGCAGGGATGTAGCACCGGCGGCCCCTAAGGGTTCTTGGGATGTGTTGGGAGGCAGGGTTTGTGGTACGGGCCGCAGGTGTTGCGGTTATTACTTCACTGCAATCGTTCCAGCTAGCGGGGACGCGTGGGGAGGGACCATAATCGCACTCGAGCCTGCTATGCCAAGATCTCGAAGCACCCGTCACCCGGTCCGACTTTGACATCTACAGGGAGAAGGCAAGCGATTAGATATCAACTCGTCAAGTAAAACCCACTACTAACGGCTTATGTTAGACAGATCTTTGGACCCGAGGCCTAGCCGTCGACTCTTTAGCGCCCTCCCGGGGCGCATCTAACAAGACACTCAGGACTGCGGTATTGGACAATGCGTGCTTTCGGGGCTGACGGACTACGCTTAGAAGGATGTCGCTCTTCGTGGTGTCACGGGCTGCAATCAGAATGACTGCGAGAGGCGCAGAAGGAAAAAAAAAGAAACACATCTTCTAATGGCACCCGAACCTCATGCCATCCAGAAAATTGGAAGTTGGAATCTCTGACTACCCTTTATAAGCCTTAGTTGCCCTTTAATCTCGCAATTGCCCCTGTACCCATGATCAGTCGTGACCAGGCCTGAGATGGCTCTGTCCAAAGGCAAAATTGCGTCTGAGCCCAAAAGTGGCTCTGGGCGACCAGCGCACGTTGACGTGCTGAACAAAACTCACTCCTACGGATCCAAATTGGGCAAGGACCACCCGAAAGCTTCAGACCCAAGAGGCCCTGAAATGAACTCTAAACCCAAATATTGCAAGCAACGCCAGCTGCAGACTGGACGTCTGAAAGCCCTTGAAGAGGAGATTGCGGACAACCGGCGATTGAAAGACCCATAACTCCAGCCCCACGTAGAAGCATAAAGGGTGCCAGAAAGTAGCGCTTTCTACTGCTACTATAAGTTGAGCTGCCGTCTTTGCAGTGGACTAACTTCTTCTGTGCGGAGTTATGGATTTGCATGCGATTCTGCCTACTGCCTCCACGATTTCGGGCTTGTGCGAGGGTTATGGGGCTACCGGACCACAGAGACCTCACAGAAAAAAGCAATGGGATACTAAATGCAAGAACCCCCCTTTCCGCACCAAACGGACCCGGGACATTAAAACACCCTGAAGAAGTGGCAGCTCTCGGGATGGGGACTTCGTCTTGCAGATGGGGGCCTTCGCCGCAAGATCTCTATGCAATAATCACGATCAAGTTGTAATCTTCCTCTGAGGGTTTAGGGTTTAGGGTTAAGGGGCACATACAACTGCACAAAACTTGTCATGTGTAAACACGCATGCGATGTTGCCTTACTGCCGTGGTTGCGTGTGTAAATACCTTGTTTCCTAGGCGTTGCGTAATACACTGTATCCATGTATGCACATCGGGGCAGCGCAGTCAAGTTCACATCAATTGAACTTGTAACGTTAGCCAAGCTCAGGAACACGTCTAAAACAGGAATGTTGCAAATACGACGCCGGTAATGCCTTGTTTGCCATATGTGCATAGCAGCCTGTGTAGCTCCTTTTTCTGGCACCGGCATGGGCGAGTCCAAAACTAGGTTGTAACGTGGCTCACGACGTGTGATTAAACGAAGTTGGTGAGGAAACGGAACCTTAGTTCAGAAACAAGCACTAAACAAAAACTTGAAACCGTAAGCTTTCAACCATTTCGTCCAAGACCCCACTTCCTTTAGCCTTCAACGGGAAACAGGAAACAGTTCAGTATTCCAGCGCCAAGCAACAGAGTTCACCTCAGTCTCTTCAAGGCTCGGCGGGCTCCGTGCTCAGACTGCCAGAGGACCTCCGGGCTCAGCTTTGAACTTCTTCGCTTTCGTGCTGGCTGCGGGGTTGTGGTGTGACCCTAAACGCGGACTCCAGATCCCCCAACTTACTAGAATTTTAGAGCACCCAACAACTGAGCAGGTTCTCAAGTCAGACAAAAGGCATCGTGACGAGGTGGCAGTAGAGCGGGAAGCCTTGGTCGCTGCAGGTTTGGGGTTTCGGGTTCAGAGTCATCGTAGGATCAGAAGCTTAAACGGCGGTCTACAGGGCTACTAAGCTCACTAAGCAGCTGATGTAGATCATGGCGATGAAGAGAGTGAACACATAGCCCATGTGCACGGCCCGGCTGTGGTACCTCGGCAGGGTTTCTGGTGCACTCGATGCTTGGAGTCTGGGTGTCGTTCACAGCTTCAACGTGTCCGAGATTCGATTAGAACCTTGAACACCATGGATAACCCCGAAAAAGAGTCACAAGGCAGCTGCGGATGAACGGCTCAGGCTTCCACAACCCCCGAACCCAAACACCGGAAGAGATCTCTGTAAGCTTTTGACTCAGGCTTTGGTGTAGCTTATGGTATATCATAGGGACTGCGCGGGGATATTGTATTCAGATATCAAGCATCCATGCTCTATCCATTAACTGGCAACAGTCCACGCGAAAGACCTACCCCCCCAAAACCTCATAGCCACCCCAAATCCACCACCTTCCAGACCTCCAGAGGCTTGCTTCAACACCCAAAAACCTCCGAAGTCCCAAGGAGGTTTAAAAAGAACGAAAGGAGGAGGAGGGAGAGAAAGCCGAAAGCACCTACGACGGCCGGGCCGCTTCTTGGGGATCTCCAGGTGCGGAGCTGGCACCGCCTTCTGCCATCCCAGGCACCTGGCTATAGGATGCTCTAGGCTTCAGCTCGGGCATCTGTGGCGCTTTGGCTTTGGGGGGGTTTAAGGTGTAGGGTTTAAGGGGACTTCAAGTAGGCTTGGGTTTAGGGGGATGGTGATCTAAATGGGAGCGGGGGTTTGACAATTTGACTTGTGTCACTGAAGTTTCGGAGCTTCGTGGATTAGCCTCTTGGGGTTTAGGTTTTCAGGGCCTGTGGGTAATACTAAGGTTCTTGGTTTTCGGGGTTACGGTCTTCGATTTGAGGCTCAAGGGCTGAGTGGGGGTTGTTGAAGTCTCAAGGTTTGGGGCCTGGAGTTTGGCTTTGGGGCCTGTTTAGGCTCGCGAGGCGCTGCTGGACTGGACATCGTCAGAGTGATTTTCGAAAGGGTGTGCAAATCTTCGGATTGGGGCCCTAGGGCCTTCGGATCTTAGCATTCTTCAGAGCATTGAAGGCTTGCGAGAAGAAGTACTCAAACTCCGAAGCCGAGCCTCGTTCCCTTCGTTGGCAAAGCCCTACAGCCTGCGAAACCGAAACCGCCAATGATCCAAATCGGTCAGTAGCGCATGTGCGTGCTGAAGATGATCACGGCCGACATATAGAAGAGGACCCAACCGAGGGACCTTAGGTGCTTCAAGAAGTGTCGGGGCTCAGGGTACAGTGTCGACAGACACAGAAGCTCCCTCTGTTCAGCATAGCATTCGTACTCCCCATTAACCACGGGATCAGCTGTATTTAATTGAGGCAGGGGGGCTCCTTTAATGCTAACTTTTTTGTACATTGATTCTTTACTTTTTAGAACCCTTGTTGCACAAACCTCAGAAAGACTTGCAAATCCAGTTTCATCTATCTAACCTGGGTTGGTGTATAGGGCTTTTCTCCTCAGGCCCTTGGGATTGTCGGTGATTTTCGTGGCTTGGATTGGCACGGTGGGGTTCAGACCTGAGGCATCAGAGTTTGCAAGGTTAAGGGGTTTCGGATTCAAGGTCGAGGGCTAGAAAATGGATTTCGGATGACTTTTGCGCCTGTTGCATCTCCAGGTTTGAGTGCGTTACCTCGACAAAGCCTGCACCGGGAACCCTGCAACCCCCGCCACAAATCCTAAATCATGCAAGAACCTGCTAATCTCTTGCCCAGAAAAGCGTAATGCCATGAATCCTATAACCCCCAGTCTGACCTCTGAACCAAAGCCTCCAAACCCGTGGCTCCCTTGACCCTACAGCAATAGAGTAGAATGACAACCGTAGAAATGGCAACAGTGTTGACAAGTATAATCCGTAAAACTAATAGGTTTCATAGAGATAATGGTATCGAGAAAGTACGACTGCCAAAGTTAGCGGCAGGCAAGTTTCATGTGACTGACACTAAGACTATCATCATCGCAGGCGGCAAGGCCACAAGCCCTCCCATCAACGAGAGGCTGGAAGATCTCGAACTCCATGCGGTAGATGTCACGCACGTACACAGACTCGCATCCCGGAGTGTCCACCCAGAAGAGGTTCCTCAGATAACGGGCCTAGTAAGGCCTAGTACGTGATTAATCTGACGCCCTATGAGGGCGCTTGCCTTACCATTATTCTGGCCAAAACTCCTGACTTAGCGGCTTAGTGACTTGGTGCTGCCACTTGTTCTTGGGGCGTTGGTTTGGAGTGTACAATAAGTCGAAATCCTGACCCTGAACTCCCAAGCGGATCGAGACAGTCTCTCTGTTGCATCCAAGAGTCAACCGGAGGTGCAGCCTGAACACGTAGAGTGTCAGCGTTCAGCCAAGAATTGGGGGGGGGGTGGGGTGGGGGGGGGTGCGCTTACTTGCCCCACGTTTAGAGATTTGATGTTGCAAAGTTGTTCCGTTGCCTAAGGTGATTCTCCAAACGGGTTCCCATGCGGTTTCCTTGGCCAACGAAACTGCTTCAATCTCCGGGGCGTTGACATTAAGGGTGGCAGGACGTGGGGTGGTGGGGGAATATGTGGCTGTTTTGGGCTTACGGTTAGAGAATGGCAGCATGCGAACGAAAGCAGCTCGCAAGTAAACCCACTGATAGGTACCCCATAAATAAGGTGTATTGAAGAATCAACGGGCTTAAGGCAGAAGACTATTGCATGAAGGCTTCCAGGTTATTGGAGGCTTTCTCCCCAAATGCATCGTCCTCTTCACAACCCTACAAGTACCTATAACCAAGGCTTCCCTTGCTGAAAGTTTGAACCCACACCCCCAAACCCTACAACCCAAAAAAAAACAACAAACCCCTACGGCCCTGACCCGCATCAGGCTTGCTGGGGCCCGGGGGCAGCGTGTCGAGGTTCAGCAGGTAGGGCGGCGGGCAGAGCTTCCACGGCTTGGTGTCGCCGAACCTCTGGGTGGGGGAAAGCGAAAGTCCCCAAAGCTAGCACCAGGAACCCGAAGACCGAAAACAGCCGAAATGACCCCTTTGACAGAGCCATATAGAGCCCCAAATAGTTTCGGTACTGTTTCCAGGCTCCGGGTCCTGCAGCGGTGCAGCTCTTGTGTCATGAAACTAGAGGTCAGTTTGGGTTCTATATACGGGTCCCTCATGTTCTGAAGCTCACATGTGCACACATAGCGTTCGCAGTCAAGAAGCCGGAACTGGTAGAGGTGGATCATCATGAAGGTGAGCAGGCTGATGCCCGAGAGCGCCAGGTTCATCTTTCCAGAGTTCAGGGTGTAGTTGATGCTGATGTCCCAGGTACGCTTCCTTCCGAAAGGTCCATGTCATGAGGCTTCACAGGGGCTTGTCCGGGTTTTGTGGGGCTCTGTGTCGGGGGTTGAGGGCCATTATGCATGTCAGGGTACCTTAGATGAACAGTTCCTGAACAAGAATCCGGCCTTGGGTAGATCGGTCCGGATTCGCTGCTGTTGGACTTCGGCCGAAGGTTTGGGGCTCATGGGTTTAGGGTTTGGGCTTCAGGTTCACGGTTCAGGGCAACATCTGGGTCTCATTTTACTCAGCAATAGTGTTCCTTGAGAAGCAACAGCAGCAGTACAGCTCTCAGAACTTCGAATCTCGTTATATACTTGGTATCCGATACTCTTACTGGGTCTGGTTCGACACATGTCTAGGCTCTCCGATGGCACTTGGCATGGCGGCTTGAGCTACAGAGCTCTGACATCTGACAGGCTCCGCATGCAACAGTCCCAAACCTTCGGAGCCAGAAGAACCGTTGTCTCGAGAACAAGATGTGCTTTATGTGGTCCGACACCACGACTGTCAATACTTGAAAAGCCCTCGGTAATGAACATACAAACACAGGCTCTCCAAAGACCTTCCATCCTCAGCCCTCTAAGTCATACGAAATAGCACCACGGTATGGAGACCGTAGCTTCGGCTGTGGGTTTAGAGGGAAGGGTTATAGATTCCACAGTCAGCAAATATCAGTAAATCGACCCTAGTTTCAACTGCTTCGACCAGATTCTACAATTCGAAAAAATCCCCTTACAAGTAGGAGTTACCTGCAAAGCCCTGAACACCAAAACCCCTAACCACCCCTTGCAGTGTTGACGAGGCGCAAAGCAACCACGACGTGCAGCAACGCGGCCAGCAGGATGTACTCCTCCACGATGTTGGCCTGAAGATGACCAGTCCAGTACCCGGATCTAGGGAGTTACAATGCAATGCGGCAGGGCTGTTGAAACTCATAACGGCCATTCGGTGACAGCATGTGCAAGGAGCAAACTGCCACACACGACTTCTACTCTAGTCTACTCTCAAACTCTACCCCGGCCGCCAGACCAGAACGTCCTCCTTCGTTTCGCCCTGTATCTCACGGCGGAAACCAGGGTGTGGTTCAAGGTTCAGATTTTGAGTCTGAAGTAGCTGTAGCCTCAAAAACACATCCTAGCAATCTGAGGGAATACAATATAAAAGCAAAATAAATATGCAGCTTTCTGGGCTTTGGATAGGATTTAGGGTTCGAGATACGACTTGGGCGAAAACGATACCCAAAGCACATTGCCCTTCCAAGCCCTACAGCCCAAAACCGTTCCAAGGAAACCCACATCTTTTCAAAGTTGTAAACTAAAATCCGCTAGAAACCCAGATCTACAGCCATGAGAACAGCCCTGTAAACACCAATCAAGAATTCGTCGACCCTATTGATCCAGCCACTTTGAAACACTAAAGGCCCCGATCCTTATCAGACCTTCCAAACCCTGTAAAGCCCTCCGAGACCTTCCAAAAACTGGCCTGGAAGCCGAAGCCCGTCCAGTAGAGCCGCACGTAAAAGTAGCCGTAGCCGTTGAAGTCATCCGGGCCTCTCAGGCGTTGCATGGGGGCTCGGGATTTGGGGGTTACAGGTTTAGAGACCACAGGTAGGTCTGATGGGCTTGGGCAGTCAAAAACCGTAAGCCGCAATGACCGACGAATCCCAAAATGACTGCTGAAGTACTGAAGCTCAGCATCAAACTCTGCAAAGATATCACGACATGGCGTAGAGTTGAGAGCTCAGGACTCGAGGCTCCTTATAGTTCTCTAGTCGGTTGGTGGGATCCGCGCTAAGACGGGTAAGCCCCGTCGATGAGCACCCACCTCCCTGGGGTGATGGTACCACTTTCTCATCTTCCTCGCATCTTCTCTCCGTTTCTTCCCTTCCTTGTCTTTCTTCTCGGCCCCCGTTGCCCTCTGCATTTTCCCCGACTCCACGGGGCTGCCTTGTCCTCCGCCGTGTGTCATTCACTGCTGCGCTGAAGCCGGCTTGGGCGCGGCTCTCCCGGCACAAGTGGACATGTGGTGCTTTTGGCTTCCCTCCTCCGTTTGCTCCGTTTGCCTTAGTTGCCGCCCCTCTCGTGTGCGGCGCTTGCGTCTCTCGTGGGCCTCCCTTTCTTCTCCGTGCTTTGTCGGCTGCTTCCCATGCCTTCTAGCTATCCCGAGCGTGTGATGGGAGATTTAGGCTCGCTTCCCGAGCCGGCCTTGGCGCTGCTCGCCGCGTCTTGTGTGGCCCTTGTGCTTCTGTGCCCTCGCCTCCCTCTCTTCTCTGCGCTCATCTTTGCGCACGACATCTGCGGGTTTGTTGTCTCGCTCCCTCTCTCCTCACCTGAACTCTCGCTCCGTTGTGCACCGCTACCTCTCGTATGTGACACTTCCGCCTGTCTGTCCTCGCCTGCCGCTCTTCCTATGTTCCACGCGAGCATGTTGAGCGCTGTGTGTGAAAAACCTGACTGCATGCGCCTTTGTGCATGCTATCCTTGCCTTAATTGTCGCACCATTGAGCTTTGTTGCCTCTCGTATGTGGTGCTTGCCGCCCTCAAGCTTCTCTCTCCCTCTCTCTCTCTCTCTCTGCTCCTCGCCCGCCCACCTCTTCCCTCTCTTCCTTCCAATCTCCCTCTCCTCCGATTGGATTACTCGGATCCACCGACCCGTCATTTCTCTTTTCGGATTGCGACCTGGTCATTTTTGCCCTGCTTGTCTTCTCCCTTCTCCCTTCTTTTCCCTGGTCTGCATGTTTGCCTCTCTCCACGCTTGGCTCTCTCCTACTGTGTCCGGCTCGCTCTCCCACTATGTGCCTTGACTGCGTGCTACCCCTTTTGAACCCTTCGCAGAGCGCGCGGAGTCGTCCCGAGATGCTGGGGGGAAGAGGCGGCAACAGCAACAAATAACCAACTTCTCAGACAAGTTCTGCGGGAGACAAGTTTGCGTGTGCATGTCTTCGCTCATAGGATCGTCTGGGCGTGGAGTCCATCATTGTAGCAGTTGAGCAGCTGGGAGGTTGATAGTGAATGAAGGCCGAGTACACTTCATGCCAATCTTCAACATGAAGCTGTTGTCATTGCAGCTTCAGGTTTGGGCTTCGGGCTTCAGCCACTGGCCGGAAGCTCCATGTTCCCAGAACAGAGTTGGTCACTGCAGTTACAGAACTCTCTCCACAGTAATCCCAATTATGACGACCCTGCGAAGTAGCCTAGTACAACTTTGACCGCTACGTTGGGGTGCAGCGTTCAACAGCGGATAAATAAACTATTACATCCGAAACACGACAGGCCTAGGAAGACGTGGAGGTTGCCCACGGCGTGGATGATAATGAAAATGAAAAGGAACCTCAGTCGCTGGCGGACATAGGCTGGTGTTCGTCTTACAATACGGGGGTTTTGGCCGTTAGCGGCTCTTAGGGTAAGAGTGTACAGGCCTTAGAGGCTTCAAAAGGTTGGGTGTGTCAGTGAACTTTTGAGGGAGTCAGGGCTCAGGCTGAAGGATTGCGAATGTTGAAAGGCATCTCGTGCGGATTGCCTGCGGACCGGCGCTGGCAAGCCTAGAAGGGTTGCACCCGGACCAACGCAGATCGATTTCGGGGATGGACCATTGCAAAGAGGATGAAGCTCCTCACGCAGACCACTCTGTTTGCTTTGAACCCGCCTTGTTTATGTATATATATATATACATTCATACATATATATAT